AAACCCGGGTTTTTCATCCCTTTGGGGCCATATAAAATTAAAAGAGAGTAAAGGGCTGAAAATTCGGATTAAAATATCAAGAAAAAGTAAATTTTCCCTTTTGTTCCCGTATATATTTTCTACTTTTTGCCCCAAAATTAAATTTTAAAAAAAATCAAATTTCCCCCCTACTATTTCGTTTATATGGGCAAAATAGGCATCATATTTCCCCCCTTTTATTTTTAACAAGGAAATTTAAATTTTCTTCCCAAAGTGAAAAATCCCCCAGAATTTTAATATTTTTAAACTTTTTTTCCCAAAATAATGAAAGATACGGGGACGTTTTTTGGGGTATTTCCCAAGGGCCCCTTACAAATTTTAGGGGTATATGGTTTTAAATCATCACCGTATTGGGTAAAAGAAAAACACAATTTTCTATTAAACAACCTAAATAAAATAAGTAACTTTAAAAAATTTGACGGCCGTTATATAAACTATTACTAGGCGGGCATTTTCTATTATATTATTTGAGATGACGGAGAAAGAAAATAGTTTCAAGTTTCATTTAAAGAAAATCTTTATACAAACTTACAAACAAACAAACGAACGGACATAACAAATAAGACTACACATATCTTTTACATACCTATACAAAAAAAAACCAAAACAAAAAAACAACAAAAAAAATACCCCCAAAATACTTACAAATACCGTTTCTAGCGACAAAAACAATGTTACATGTATAAAACATGGTAAACAAATTTCACATACATCCTGTCATTTAAACTTATATTGTAAAAAAATCTAAGTAAACAATATATTTTTAATTTATTAACATTTTTAAAAAATTTTTGTGTTCAAAAAATAGCAAAAAAATTTTTTCCCAAAAACGGGTTTCCATAAACGATATTTAAAAAACTTTTTAAATAGACAATATCAGTCAAATTTTTGGGTTTTTTTTTCCCTTCCCTTAAAAAAAAGATACCACGTGGGTAAACGCTTTAATTTTCCAAAATAATACAAAGTATCTTGTGTGTGTTTTTTATAAAAGTAGTTTTTTGGGTTACATGGGGGGGAAAAATATATAGATGTTTTTAAAACATAAAAAAAAAATTGCAAATTTAAAAAAAAAGAAAAATTTTTTGATTAAATATTTAAATTTTAAACTTGGAAAAAATTTGCAAGGAAAAAAAAGGGATTTTTTTCTTTTTTTTAAAAACCTTTTTTGTAATTATTAAAAGTATTTGATCCTTTTTTTATTTATCACCTAGATTAGGTTATTGGTGTTGAAACAATATACATTTTATATTTAGATAAATCCTCTCTCTCTCTCTTGAGAAGAATGCAGTTAAAAAAAAAAAAAAATTACACACATATATGTATCTTTAGATGATGTATGCATATTTATACAGTAATGACTTTGTTTTATATTGTCTATGTTTGAAATTTCTGGAAATGTAAATCAAAACAAACAAATTTTATTGAATATTAAAAGCAAAAAAAAAAAAGAAAAAAAAAAATCAAATTACTGATGTTAGGTTACTGGAATAACTTTGTAAAATACAAATTGAAAAGTTTCTGTTGTTGTACTTGTAACAAAACAATGTTGTTATATTAAAATGTTACTTTCTTACTATTTTATGATTTTTTTATTTACTATTTTATGAATTGTTATTTTTTTTCCATAATTTTTAATTACACATTAAGACACTGTTACCACTGGTCTTTATTTGATGGCATTTTATTAGGACTTTTCTTGTTACCCACATGTCCTCTTTTCCCCTTTTCTTAACCCTTGCCAGATAGGCATTTCCAAGCCGCTTTCTTTGTATTTCTTGTTTTTAGTTTTTCACTTTGTTCTTATAGTATAAGGCAATTTTTGCAAGTCTTCCCCTTTCTCTCTTCATTATCACAGGGTAGGTCTGTAAGGATTTTTTTCCCTTTCTTGCCCTCAGCACAGGAAGTAAAAGACTTTTGAGAGGACCAGGTCCCTATCACCAAAGGACAAAAATCTCACAATTTTTAGAAGAAAATAAATTTTATCATGCAGCACCAAACACCCAACTTGTGTAAATCTATTACTCAATGTTCAAGTTATCATCTATTTTTGGAAAAAAGCCGTCTGAAGTTATGAATTTAAGATTGATAATGTAACTGAAAATGTAATGTCTATAAGAATGCTGATCATTTATATCCTTTTTCCAAAAAAAAAAAAACAAATTTTTTAAAAGTAATTTTTTAAACATAACTTTTATTTAAACGTAATTTTAACTGTCATTTCTTTGTTGTCATTTAAATTTGGAAGGTAAAAAATGTTTCATTTAATAGTCGAAATCAGAAAGATAATCAAATTTATGTGAAGATTTGGCAGCAGTTTCCCTTAAAAAAGACAGACATATTTTTTTTTTGAAATACTTTTCCTTTTTCATTTTCTCATTCACACGGTTTAAAAGGGGACATTTACCCCTTTTAAATGAAATGGGCCCTTTTTGCATATCACATAGGGAAACTGCTGGGTGCTATTTTTACGGGTTTTTTAAGTAGCATTCCCTTAATCCAACTTTTTTCCCGGGGGTTTTTGATTTTATTCCCAAAATGGAGTCTACTGCATCAAATTTTGGGTTCATAAACCGTCAAGGAGGCCGGGTGCAAGCCCGAAAAAGGGGTAACCACCTTTTTTAGCTGGGATCTCTAAAAAAAAAAAAGTAAGGGGGGTTTTTTCATGTTTTAAGCCCCCTGGACTTCCAAAAGACCCCGAAAAAATTAAAGTAAAAAGTTCACTGGGATCATGCAGGGATTATTAAAAAAATAGGGTTTTTTAATAAAAAATCTGATAATTTATCAAATCCCTTACCCTTTTTTGACCCAAATCATAATGGTACAGCCATTTAAAGCCTACAAAAAAAGGGGTTTCTTTATATTTTATTCCTTTCCCTTTGGGAAAAAACGTTCCCAAAGGGTCTCAAACCCTTTTTTGCAAACCAGTTTTTAGGGCCACTTTAATGATTTCCAAAAAAAAAACATTTTGCCCTTTGTTTTCCCTTTTTGAAAAATTTTATTATTACTTCAAATTTTTCTCGATTAGACTCATAGTTGATTCGTCCTGCCATTAGAGCCATAGCATTTGGGATCACTGATTTGTTTAAGGATATCATCTTCAAATGGCAAATGCAATTGATTTTGACAATTGTCCGGGATAAGAAGATGGAGAAGTGTAAGTCAACTTAGGGATTTTCATTCACATTACTGTTTCACCATTTCATTTTTTATATTAGAAGCCAGAAGTTCTTTGATAAATTTTACTTTCTATAGTGTTAAGCAATGTACACTGTATCAAAGGTCAGTGAAATTGTGAATGAGAGTTTCACCTGTGTGTAAATGCTTCAGTGATTATTCATTTGTCCGAATTTGGTTTATAAGTACATAGCACACAATATTCACGGAGAGATAATTGCACAAAGACATTTATTTTTGGAACACCCCTACGTACTTCCTATATATAGAATTCCACTAGTTCTAAACTATTTGTACTTGAGAAATTTGGCAGAATAAAGTTTTGGTGGACCATTGTTTTAAACTGTCCCTATAAAAATTAACTCAATTTTTTTGGAAAAAATATGATATTTTTTAAAATTTTTAGATACTTACAATTCAGGTTTTAAAACAAACAAAAAGATAAAAACTCATTTTGGGGGGCAGGCAAAAAGGGAAAATTTTAATTTTAGAGTGAAAATTTTATGGCAGGGGGTGCAGGAAAAAAATTCTCAAATAAAGCAGGTACATATTTTTTCTAATGAACTTTGACTTTTTAGCTCACAGGAACCAAAGGTTCAGGTTGAGAAATTTGAATAGTAGAGGATAAGCTCCATGGTCTAACCTTGTGAAACAAGTGGTCAGATTACTTCAAACTTAGTGTGTAACATCCTTGTAATAGTCAAACTTCAATTAGCCCATAAAGCCTTTATAATTATGTTGTTTTTTTCATGAGTATCTAATTTTTTTCTTTATTAAACCTTTCCCTGTCAGTTCCATTGGGAAGGCCTTTTTTTGCCCTTTTTAATTTTTACAGGGAAGGGGTTTTTTTGCCCCATTAATCAGGGAAAAGGGGTTTTTTTTCCCACTGGGCATTTTAAACCCCAAAAAAAAGAAGTTGTGGTGGGGGGGATATAGAAGTCCCCCGTGGTCGTTCCGGGCCCGCGGTCCGTTTCCCTTTTTTCCCTTTTCCGGAGATAAATTGGAAGACTAAATTTGGTTTGGGAAATTTAAATAATAACTTTATACAATGGTTTTAAGCACATTTAGGAGGAAGTGCGTGCACAAGAAAACCCAAAATTTCCTCTTGACTAAATTTCAGAGTCATTGCCCCTTTTTACTTTTCCTTGTCCAGAGCATACCCTTTAAAAAAAACTGGTTGAAATTCAAAACAACTTCATACAAATTTTCAAGCCAATAAAGGGGAAGGGGCAGGTTTCCCCATGAATTTTTAATGTTCAGATAGTTTTAGTAGTTTTTTTGCCCCTTTTTTTTTCTTTTCCATTTTCTTTTTTAAATGCTATTCGATTTAAAAAAAGTAGAGCTATTTAGTCCCCCCGGGATCCCGTCCGCCCTCGGCGTAAACCCCCTTTTGTTTTAAAATTTTTGTAATTTTTTCAAAATATTTTCAAAGTCCATTGACATATTTGGGTTTGAAATTTTTCACACTTGGGTTTACCATCAAAGACCCCAAACCCTTTGACAGGAGAAAATAACTATAAACATTTTTTACAGAATTTATGCCCCCTTTTTTGACTTAGAATTTAAAGTTAAAAGTTTTTTAAAGTTTTTAAATTTTTTTAAAAGTCCCAATTTACATATGGGGTTTGAAAAATTTTTCACCTTGTTTACCATTTATGAACCCCCCCAAAAACCCTTTAAAAAAGGAAAGGGGGTAACTCTTTCGAGCAATTTTGACAGAATTATGCCCCTTTTTTCGACTTTAGAATTAACGTTAAAGTTTTTGTAATAGTCAAATATTTTCAAAGTCCCATGACATATGGCCTTTTGAAAACTTTGCCACACTTGTTCAACATTTCATGACACCAACTGTAAACAGGGAGGGAGGTAACTCTATTCAAGCATTTTTGACAGAATTATGCCCCTTTTTTAGCTTCGACTATTCGATAAGAATAAGTAGAGCTATTGCAGTCACCCGAGCGTCGGTACGTCGGCGGTCCCCGGCCGTTTAAACCACTTATGTTAAAGTTTTTGTCTAATGAAGTTTCAAATATTTTTCCCAAAGTCCATTGACATTATGGCCTTTTGAAACTTTTGCACACTTGGTTCACCATCATTGACCCCAAACCTTGTAGGACAGGAGGAGGTAACTCTATCAAGTATTTTGACTAGAATTATGCCCCTTTTTCGACTTTAGAATTTACAGTTTAAAGTTTTTGTAATAGTTCAAATATTTTCAAAGTCCATTGACATATGGCTTTGAAACTTTTTGCACACTTGTTCACCATCATGACCCCAACCTGTAGACAGGAGGAGGTAACTCTATCAAGCATTTTTGACAGAATGATGCCCCTTTTTCGACTTAGAATTTCCTTGTTAAAGTTTTTGTAATAGTTCAAATATTTTCAAAGGTCCATAGACATATGGGCTTTGAAACTTTTGCACCACTTGTTTCAACATCATGACCCCAACCTGTAGACAGCAGCGAGGTAACTCTACTTAAGCATTTTGACAAGAATTATGCCCCTTTTTCTCGACTTAGATAAGAAATTTAACGTATAAAGCATTTTCGGCCGTAACCACTTATGTAAAGTAATAGTTCAAATATTTTCAAAGTCCATTGACATATGGCTTTTGAAACTTTGCAAAGCACTTGTTCAACCATCATGACCCCAACCTGTAAACAGGAGGAGTAACTGTATCAGGCATTTTTTTTTACTAAATCAAGCACTTAGAAATAGTCGAGCATGCCCCGACAGCTCTGTTCGACTTAGACATTTACGTTAAAAGTTTTTGTAATAGTTTCAAATATTTTCAAAGTCCATTGACACTATGGCTTTGAAACTTTGCACAACTTGTTCAACATCATAGACCCCAACCTGTAAACAGGAGGTAGGTTAACTCTATCAAGCATTTTGACAGAATATGCCCCTTTTTCGGAACTTAGAATTTTTACGTAAAGTTTTTGTAATAGTTCAAATATTTTCAAAGTCCATTGACATAATGGCTTTGGAAACTTTGCACACTTGTTCACCATCATGACCCAACCTGTAAGACAGGAGGAGGTAACACTGTATCAGGCATTTTTTTTACTATCAAAGCACTAAGAATAGTGCGAGCCATGCTGTCCCTTGGTTTACCGACAGCTCTTGTTCGACTTAGAATTTTATGTTAAAGTTTTTGTAATAGTTTTCAAATATTTTTCAAAAGTCCATTGACATATGGGCTTTTGAAACCTTTGCACACTTGTTCAAGACCATCATGACCCAACCTGTAAACAGGAGGAGGTAACTTCTATCAAGCAGTTTTGACCCCCAGCCATTATGCCCCTTTTTTACGACTAAAATTTTACGTTTTAAAAGTTTTTTGTAATAGTTTCAAATATTTTCCAAGTCCATAGACATAGTGGGCCTTTGAAACTTTGCTGTTCCTACTGACAGCTCTTGTTTCTTGTCCATGAGCATAACTTGAAAACTACAAGTTGGAATTCAATTCTATTTCATACAATGGTCAAGTATATTGAGAGGAAGCGCAGTGCACAGAAACCATAAAGTCTCTTTCTTGACTCATTTAAAAGTTTTTGCCCTTTGTTACTTTTTATTGTCCAGTGCATAACTTGAAAATTAATGGTTGGAATTCAATGAAACTTTATACAATGGTCAAGGGCAGTGAGATGAAGTGCAGTACACAAGAACCATATCTCTATTTGGACTAGTTACAGTAATTGCCCTTTGTTACTTTTTTTGTCCAGTGCTTAACTTGAAAACTAGTAGTTGAAATTCAATACAACTGCATACAATGGTCAAGGGCAATGAGAGGAAGTGCAGTGTACAATAACCATAGCCCCATCTTCAGTATTTATAGAGTTATTGCCCTTTGTTCTTTTTCCTTGTCTTTCTGGACTTATTGCAGGGTAATTCAATAAAACTTCATCAATGGCCAACCACATTGAAAGGAAATGCAACATACAAGAACCACAACTATCTTTAATTGCCCACAACAATAACTCTATTTCAATTCTTTTACAAGGTATTCTGTTACTAGTAACATCCTCATTTCCGAAGCAGTCTTGCGGGGGTATTAATCACATTTAGTGATAGTTCTAGTTTTTATTGGAGGACTTTTTCTCCACTTTGTTGTTTTTATATTGGAGGGCTTTTGTCTGTATCCCTTCCTCGAATCAGATTTCAACTTATTATTATTGGAAGAAAATCTGATTTTATGACACTTTCTGTTGCTTTTGTTCCACTTGTTTCTTATTGAAAGTTTTGGTTTGTAGTTTAAAAAAATTTAAGATGCCTGAAAAATGACCGAGTACTCGAGTATTAATTTTGGTATTCATTGCCATCCCTGCTATCAATATTTAATGTTTTGAGTTTAATTTAAGTAGATTATGATAATATTGTTATGTTACGGTCCAGCTATATGGTACCATTCTCTTTTAATCTTCTTAAAGTGTGGTAACATGCACAAGACTTGGTAATCAATAATCAGGTCGGACTATAAGGAACAATACTGTATTCATGAACAAAGAAATGGTCACAATTATAACATTGTTCTACTTTAAATAGAAATTGTTAGTGTTAGAGACTGATGATACTTGTTTCAGAGGGCTGTTAAAGCTTATATAGATCTGAAGATAAATCTGTTTAAGATAAATCTTGAGTCACAGTTTACTTATTTTAATAAGTGGTAAACTGTTAATAAATTTAAATTTCAATAAAATAACAGTATTGTAAATAACATCAGCACATGTATATGCGAAATAATTCAGTCCTAGATATCTTAATACTTAAAAGACTACCCATAAATTATGGCCGTGACTGTCGATTAATTTCCCTTCAAATGTAAAACGTTTAGTACAAAGTTTGGTCGAGTCATTGACTGTAAAAGTTGAAAATAAATATCCAAAGTAATAATTGATTAAATGCAAAGTTCTAGCCAGGAATTTTTGAAGGCATGTTGCAAAAAAAATTCTATGCAATTGGCTCGGCTTGGAATATTGACAGCTTATAGGTAAGGGAAGAATAATTATCGGCAACATGAGCTAAATAAGTAACTGCCAGTTTTGCATTTATGTAATACCTGACTTTTGTACTAAAAAAAATAAAATGATTGCAATAGAGCTAACACATTTACTTTCATGTATTATAGTTAATGTATGACTTTAAGATGTGTTTACAAAATCAAAACAAGTTAATGAAAATATGTCTGTCGTTAACTCTAAATCTATAAACTTATTTTGTCAGACATGGAAAACAACAAAATATGACAATAACAAACTTTTACTATACACCAATAAATCACAGTGCATGTAATTCACTAAAAATGTATCAGTTAATTATTAACTGTCAAAAGATTTGAATAGGAACATAGATTAACATCTATTTTCCGTGATTTGAACAAGAAAGTAGAAATGTAAAGGTTTTTTTAATTGAAGAATGTAATTTTATTGCCCTTGTTATTTATGCCTAGGATATTAGACTTTGTTCTTCATATATTGCTTACATTTGCTTGTACATGAATTAGCAGTGTTTATATCTGTGTAAGAAGTTAAGGCAAAGAAAAATACTTTATCTTAAACATTTTTTTCTCTCTTTAGCTCACCTGAGCTTGCTCAGGGTGAGCTTTTAGTATTGTTGGATGTCTGTCGTCATCTGTGGTCCGTTCACATTTGTTCTTTAACACTCTAGCGGAACATTTTTGTCTCAGTCATCATCAAATTGTGTCAGAATGCTTGTCTAGGTAATAGCTCGGATGAGTTCGAACATGGGTTTTTTCGGATGAAAAACTAGGTCACAGGAGCTAAAATTAGAAAAATCTTGTTCTAAACACTCTAGTGGCTACTGTTTTGATCCAAATATCCTTGAAATTGGTCTGAAAGTTTGTTTTGTCAACTTTGAATCTGGGTCACCTGGGGTCAAAAACTATTTAGGTCACACCGCCCAAATATGGAAAAACCTTGTTAAAACTCTAGTGGTCACAATTTTGACTCAATTGTAATCACACTAAGTCAGGATGCTAGTCTAGGTAATTGCTAGGATGAGTTCAAACTTAGGTTATCTCGAATGAAAAACTAGGTCACAGGAGCTAAAATTTAGAAAAATCTTGTTCTAAACACTCTAGTGGCTACTGTTTTGATCCAAATATTCTTGAAATTGGTCTGAAATTTTGTTTTGATGATTTCTAGTTCAAATTTAAATATGGGTCACCTGGGGTCAAAAACTAGGTCACACTGTCCAAATATGGAAAAACCTTGTTAACACTGTAGTGGTCACATTTTTGACTCAATTGTCATCAAACTTGGTCAGGATGTTTGTCTAAGATATTGCTCAGATGTAGTTGACGGGTCATGGGAGCGATCTAGGGCCATCTTGGCCCTCTTGTTTAAAGTTTGTCTGGACTACTCCTCTTAAACCACTAATGCAATTTCAGATAAACTTTACAAGATTGATTGGTAGGTCAAGTACTTTGGCATATTACATGGGTTTTGGGCTTGAATGATTTTTGGCCCAGTTATGGCACTTGAATGAAAAGGGTGTGAATAAAGTTTATCAGAACTACTCCTACCGTTAATGCAATTTCAAGAATTGATTGATTGTGTATAATACACATAGGTTTTCACTTGAATGATTTTCAGCTGAGTTATTTCCCTTGAATAAAAAAAGTGTTTTGCCCTGTTAAAGATTTTTGGGTCTCCTGCTACACAGTAGCTGCAACATGCGATTGGCTATCATGAGGCAACACATGTCACCACTGATGGCCCTTGTGTTTACTAGGCTTCAGCAGCAGTTACTTTTGACAACAGAAGTTATACAACCCATAAAGCATCAGCGAAACAAGTCCTGTCAAACTTAATCAAGTGAAATTACAACAAATATGCAACTTCTTAGCTGTATGCTGTTTACAAGAAAATATGTAACCAATTAGTGAAATTAATCATTAATCTTTATAATTCTGACCTTTTAAGCTCACCTGTCACAAAGTGACAGGGTGAGCTTTTGTGATCGCTTTTCGTCCGGCGTCTGTCCGTCGTCCGTCTGTCCGTAAACTTTTACTTTAAATGACATCTCCTCATAAACCACTAAGCCAATTTCATTTAAACTTCACAGGAATGTTCCTTTGGTGGTCACCTTTAAAAATTGTTCAAAGAATTTAATTCCATGCAGAACTCTGGTTGCCATGGCAACCGAAAGAAAAAACTTTAAATATCTTCTTTTGAAAAACCCTTAGAGCTAGAGCTTAGATATTTGGCATAAAACATTTTCTAGTGAGTGTCTACCAAGTTTGTTCAAATAAAAGCCCTGGGGTCAAAATTGGCCCCGCCCCAGGGGGTCATTGATTTTCCCTATATGCATATAGTAAAAACTTAAAATATCTTCTTTTAAAGAACCCAAAGAGCTAGAGCTAAGATATTTAGCATGAAACATCTTCTAATGAGTGTCTACCAAGTTTGTTCAAATAAAAGCCCCGGGGTCAAAATTGGCCCCGCCCCAGGGGGTCATTGATTTTCCCTCTATGCATATAGTAAAAACTTTAAAAAATCTTCTTTTAAAGAACTCAAAGAGCTAGAGCTAAGATATTAAGCATGAAACATGTTCTAATGGGTGTCTACCAAGTTTGTTCAAATAAAAGCCCTGGGGTCAAAATTGGACATGCCCCGGGGGTCATTGATTTTCCTTATATGTGTATAGCAAAAACTTAAAAAATCTTCTTTGAAAAATCCCAAATAGCTAGAGTTTAGATATTAGGCATGAAACATCTTCTAGTGAGTGTCTACAAAGTTTGTTCAAATAAAAGCCCTTGGGTCAAAATTGGCCCCGCCCCGGGGGTCATTGATTTTCCTTATATGTGTATAGCAAAAACTTAAAAAATCTTCTTTGAAAAAACCCAAATAGCTCGAGTTTAGATATTAAGCATGAAACATCTTCTAGTAAGTGTCTACAAAGTTTGTTCAAATAAAAGCCCTGGGGTCAAAACTGGCCCCGCCCCAGGGGTGTCATTGTTTTTAACTATAATTATGTGTATAGCAAAAACTTAAAAAATCTCTTTAAAAAAACCCAATGAGCTAGAGCTTAGATGTTTAGCATGAAACATCTTCTTATTGGTGTCTACCAAGTTTGTTCAAATAAAAGCCCTTGGGTTAAAATTGGCCCTGCCGGGGGGTGGCGTAGGGGGATGGGAGAAGGTCTATATACAGGTGAGCGACCTCAGGGCCATCATGGCCCTCTTGTTTATGGTTGTCAAGTTATCAAATAAAGCATTTCTAGTACATACAAAATGTAAACAACGATTTAAATACAATCTGAGTTTACAAGTGAGAGTATATCAATATCATATAGGGTAACATGCTTTTAAAAACTTGTTTTGTACATTTATTTCAGTGAAACCTAAAACAACAGATGAAACTGCAGAGCAAAAACCTGCAAAGAAAGGCAAGGAGCTCAAAGTTCTAGATCCAAAATCAGGGCAAAATCTTTGTGAGTTCTTTCCCTTTTAAAAATATGTTACTGAATAATTTTGTTGCAAGCTGTACCAATCGACAAAAATGATTATTCAACAAATGAAAAATAAATTCTTATTGGTATTGAAGACATAAATACTTGCATTATATTTCACATCATGTAGCACATTAAACATAAACATGAAAAATATGGCTGTCATCTTCAATTACAATTGAACTTCGGTAAGTCGTAGTTGAAGTAACTTGTGTAAAAACTTTCAACACATCGAGACTGATTCCTGAATTGGTCTCAAGTTAAAGTCAAAATTTCAAGCATTTGACTTTACAAGTGAGTTACAAAAGGCGTAACAAAAGGAAAGGGCAATAACTAAACCAAATTATAGTTAATATATATTGTGTGATCATCATGCAACTGTTTATTTTCAAATACAACTACAGCAAATTGAATAATAACAATTAGAGGATTTTATCACATGTGTGAACACACACAAAGGCTGTTAGAACACACAGCTTTGTAATTAACGCCTGTTTCACAAGTTGATCGGAAATCATCTTTTCGACCAGAAAAGGTGTGAAAATGTCTGGAGATCTAAAGTGTAAAAAATAATCGAAGGATTTCGACTTATTTATGGTAAATTGTACTTATTCTATACTGACCTAGAGAAAACTTTGACAAATCGAAAATTAGACATATAAAATTTCGACTCTTGTATAGGTTTTTATAAAGAATGTATAGAGGAAAAAAAATCAGAAACTTTCATTCTACTTCCACACATCCAAGAAAAACGACTAATCGAAGTTTGACTTATAGAAGTTCTACTGTATTAACAATAACAACATGGGACACAGTGCAGAATTTTAATCATGAATAAGATACATATTCACATTTATAATGCAATATTAGGATAACATGTGCTAGTGTAGACATAATGCAGAGAAGAAAAGAAACTTCTCAGTAGTTATATACAAACATTTTATTAAAAATGCACTGATGTTCCTGTCCAATCAACAATTTTAACATTGATGAACGGATTTAAGAATGATTATGCATAACTTTATTGGATATAATGACAATGTGCAGAGCACTAGAATTGGGGTCCTACCTCAAATGTCAAGGTCACACTTATTCATGTTGGTCAAAAGTCATGATATGGATTTTTCTAAAAGTACACCGATGTTTGTGTCTGATCAACAATTGATAAATGGATTTAAGAATTATTATGCATAAATGTGTTTGACAAAATGATGACATGCAGATCGCAAGAATCGGGCCACTCTCTCAAAGGTCAGGGTCACACTTGATATGAATTTTTATCAAAGTACAATGATGTTCTTGTCCAGGCAACAAAGCTGTCGTTGACTGATGGCTTTTAGAATTATTATGCATAAATGTGTTGGACAAAATGATGATGTGCAGAGCGCAAGAATTGGTTCCCTACCTCAAAAGTCAATGTTATGCAAGTACATTGATGGTTGTGTCCAGTTAACAATCTGCCAATTCTTTTTAAAAATAGTTTGGCATAAATGTTCAAGACATGAAGATGATCTGTAGCGCATAGTTGTCAAGTATCCAGTTCATAGGTCAAGGTCACACTTATGTCAAACTTGACAATTTTGAATAGATTGTATTCTCTTGACCATTGTATACTCGTATAACATATCCATATGTTAAATTTGAGTTGAATGTGTACACCATTAGGGAGAAAATGAACGGAAAATGAAAATTTCCTCTTTTTTTCAAAGTGAAAGGGGCATAACTCTGCCAGAAATCATCGAACCATGACCAATTTCAAACTTGACCTGCACATTCCTTTAACATATCCATATGTCAAGTTTGAGTTGAATGTGTAATACCGTTGGGGAGATAATGAACGGAAACTGAAAATTTCATATTATTTTCAAAGTGAAAGGATCATAACTCTGCCAAAAATCAACAAACCATGACCAAATTCGAATTTGACCTGCCCACTCCTTTGACATATCCATATATTAAATTTGAGTTGAATATATACAACTTTTGGGGAGATAATGTACGGAAACTGAAAATTTCTTAGGAATTATAAGCAGTTTAAGTTCGAATTTGGTTGTGGTTCAACGATTTTGGACCAAGTTATCTCTCTTGAATGTTTGAAAAAAAATTTCAAGTCATGGGCATCAACTTTTGGTTCCGCTCAATAACTTTAGTCTGCTTTGGCTTATTGATACCAAACTTGGTGTGTAAGTAACTTGTATCAAGTGGCAGCTTGGGATTGCTACCCATGTCTCTGTGATCAAGGTCAAAGTCACTGTTACTAAAAATAGAATTCAGTTTCAGCTCAATAACTTGAATTTGTTTTAGCCTATTGACATTTAACTTAGTGTATGGATAGCTTATATCAAGAGGCAGCTTGGGATTGCTACCCAGGTGTCTGTGATCAAGGCCTGAAGGTCACTGTTACTAAAAAGTAGATATTCAGTTTCAGCTCAAGATCTTTTGCTTTTGCCTATTGACACCAAACTTGGTGTATGGATAGCTTATATCAAGACGCTATTGGGGATAACTACCCAGGTGACTGTGACTAAGGTCAAGGTCACGTAATTATTAGAAATAGAAATTCAGTACCTGCTCAATAACTTGAGTTAGTTGTGACCTATTGACAGCAAATTTGGTGTGCGGGTAGCTTATATCAGGACGCAACTTGGGATTGCTACCCAGATGTCTGTGATCAAGGTCAATGTTGCTTAAAATAGAAATTCAATCTCCGCATAATAACTTTAGTTTTCTTAGACCTATTGATACCAAGTTTAGTATGTAGGTTACAAAGCTTATACCAAGACGCAACTTGGGATTGCTACCCAGGTGTCTTTGAACAAGGTCAAGGTCACTGTGGCTTAAAAAAGAAATTCACTTTTCACGTAATAACTTGAGTTTGCTTTGACCTTGTATCTGCTCCATATCTCATACATTCTTTGAAGGATTTATGTGAAACTTGGCTCACTGAGACAATATGCGGAAGGCATGAGTCAGGTCAAACTTTAAGGTAAAAATTGATTTTCATGAAACTTTGCTCAAATGTTCAGTTCATCGAGACGATATGCAGGAGGCATGGTTTAATTCTACTAACTTAAGGTTACAGTTGTAATTACAGGTCAAAATCTTTTTATGCCACCGCAGCATCTGCGATGCAGTGGCATATAGCGATTCACCTGTGTGTGTGTTTGTTTGTATGTGTGTTATAGAGATTATTAAGTGAACTTAAAAAATCTTCTTGTGAAAAAACACTAGTCCAATTTCAACCAATCTTGGCAGGATTGATCCTTGGATGAAGGACTTCAAAAGTTGGTCAAAGAATTTCATTCCATGCAGAAAACCGGTTGCCATGGCAACCAAAAGGAATTATAAGAATAAATTTAAAAAATCTTCTTGTAAAGACCCATAAGGCCTAGAGCATAGATATTTTGCATAAAGCATTGTCTGGTAGACCTCTACCAAGTTTGTTCAAATTACAGCCCTGGGGTCAAAATTGGCCCTGATCCGGAGGTCATTGATTTTCACTATATGTACATATAGTAAACACTTAAAATACCTTCTTATCTGAATGTACAAAACTTGCAGCTTTAATATTTGGTATATGATATCATCAACAGGTACTCTATCAAAGTTGTTCAAATTTTGCCTTTAGTGTCAAAATTAGACCTGCCCAGGGGGTCAAAGGTTTTCCTTATATGTATATAGTAAAAACTTAAAAAATCCTCTTCTTGAAATTGACAAAGGCTAAATGTTAGATATTTTGCATGAAACATTGCATAGTGAACCCCCACCAAGATTGTTCAAATTATAGCTCTGCCCCGGGGTCATTGATTTTCACTATGTACATATAGTAAAAAATTAAAAAATCCTCTTGTCTTAAAGCCACAAAAATCCCTGCCCTGGTAGGGAGAATTTTGTAAACAAACACTATAGCAGACGATAACATTTGTTATTACTGATCAGCTCCCTTCCTAGAGTAATATTTCAAGTTTCTACTGGAAAGTTCACACTGCCACGTGTATTTGTTTTCAATCTGCAGTACATGACCCCATTTACCCCGTCTCAGGATTTTCAAATTTTTGACAGTTAACCGTTACACGATATACACACCTTTTTCACCCCCCCCCCCCCCTTTTTTGTTATCTCAAATGGTGAAACGATGCCTTATTTAGGCCCCCAACACTTGTTTTTGCTTGAGAAATGTTGTTTAAAAAAGTGACCACTTTTTTTTGGCGCGCCCCCTTCTGTTTGGTGGGTTTGAAGTGCCCCGGCAGTCCCCCTCATCGGCAATAAAATTTTGGACTTGTGAGAGGCTAAAAATGACCCCAGATTGATCATAAGGTAATGTGTAACCAACGCTGACAAAAGTATCATGATGGGGGATATAGCTGTCCATTGGACTGCCTTGTTCTCACTCACCTTTTTTTAGCTCACCTGTCACAAAGTGACATGGTGAGCTTTTGTGATTGCTTTTCGTCTGGCGTCCGTCTGTCCATAAACTTTTACTTTTAACAACATCTCCTCATAAACGGCTAAGCCAATTTCATCCAAACTTCACAGGAATGTTCCTTTGGTAGTCAACTTTAAAAATTGTTCAAAGAATTTAATTCCAAGCAGAACTCTGGTTGCCATGGCAACCAAAAGAATAAACTTAAAATATCTTCTCTTAGAAAACGGAAAGAGCTAGAGCCTAAATAATTGGCATGAAACATCATCTAGTCAGTGTCTACCAAGTTTGTTCAAATAAATGCCCTGTGGTCAAAATTGGCCCCGCCCCGGGGGTCATTAATTTTCCTTATTTGTATATACGGTACAGCTCGCGCGGAATGTACTTTTTTCCTTTTCCCACCGTGGAACTACAGAGGAAAATTGCTGAGAAACCCCCTAAAACTCCGCAAATTTGGAGGTGTCGAGGAGACAGAAATTCGCCGATTGCGGCTGTATTTTACTAAGAAACAGTGTGTTTCAGTCCTCCACGATTCTCTGTGACTTTTCTTTCAATTGGTGCAAAAAAAATTCATAAAAATGATCAAAATAAAAGAAATTGTTTCTTGTAAATGTAAAACGAAAATTATTATTGTAGATCTACTTTCGATATCAGCAAAGATATTATCTGTTACCTGGCTGGTATTCCGGAACATTGCACACAATTGTTTAAATTTATACCTGTGACATAATATAGGGTTAACGCACGTTTTTCCGTGTTATAACGTCTGCAGAGTCCCGAGGAACGGTTGGTGCCCGAGCCCGGTAGGGCGAGGGCTCCAACAGTTCCGAGGGACTCTGCAGACTTTATAACACGAAATAAACGTGCGTTGACGCTATTATAGCATAAAATTTTCAAACAGATTCGTGATGTATAGTTTATACAAAACACAATTACATTAAAGTCTTGTGCTTGGACGGTACTGTATTTATCCAATTCTATGTTTTACGTATGCGTTTCATTTTTCCGGGGCCAACAACTTGGAAAATTCTCGGAACCGGACGTAATTTTGAATTTTAATTGATTTAACAAAGCTTGGCCTTTGGAGATTTATTATCTCAAGAAAAAAAAACCGTAATATTACTCTACCCTCTACCCAAGACAAAACATGACCCTCAGAAATTCTTAGAATGATTTCAGATTGACGGTAGATAAAAGATCAGTGACATCAGAATCGGTTTTTTTTTTCAAGCAAACAAGTTTATAAAAAAATCAGGCACTAAGCATTATTCTCTCAAAGAAATATAAAGAGCATTTATCAACATTAACATAAATAAAAAACATTTTCTCATATTAATTTTGTGTTATCTGGTTTTGTAAGTTAATCGGAGTGTTATGAATGACAGGTAGATTCTACTGTATTTGTTTACATTGACAACTGTCCGTTTCTTAGCAAGGGCGACAACCAAGATAAGCACCGATGTCTATACGCCGTTTTTCCGGCATAGTTACTTGAATATGCGACTGAGGCCCTCGAATCAATAAATTTCAATATAACAAGAGCGCATGACTCTTCGGTAAACAGGCCAAATCGTCATTTTTTGTTTGTTTGTTTACTGGGCCCTGTATGTATTGCGCATAGGTGAAACCGGGCTATAACAAGAGCGCGTGACTATGTTAACACATGGTTTTGGTCCCGTTATAACATGGGCAAAAGAGGGAAAAATAGCCGATTTTATGCTATAATAACAGAGATGAGCGTGTGTTATATCATATGCATATGTATATTGCTTAAATTTGATGAATGCAGACTTTTTCATAATTTTATGAGACACCTATTATGCGTTGTCTTTCAATGAATTTATTTCAAACAATGTTATAAATATTTGCATACAGTATACTATTGTAAACTGACTGGAAAATAAAAGTGATTGTTGTTGTTGTTGTAGTAACTGTTTACGTTTTTAATGTTAATTGTTTTTGTACTATCATCAAATTCAATACATTTATAAACATGTTTATCTTTAGATCCATCGTCTCTTCACATCATTTTATTTCAAACAAATCACCTTTGAAAACAGTTAAAACAGTGATAATTGAAATAACGGATAAATCTACATGTATATCTAGCTCCATGGCCTATTTCAAACATATGCCAACATCTCTAATCATTAATGCGCTTCAAAACATAAAAACCTTATATACACCTACAGTATCCTTGTCAACAACAAAAATGCCAAATAAAGTATAAAAACAAAATACGATGCAGACATTGATTCAGCGATAGGGTGTTCAAGAAGATTGTTTGTGAGAAATACAATGTACTGAATAATCAAGTGGACCTACAAATTTCAAAACAAAAATAAGACTGTAGTTTCTTTTAATGAAAAAGGATAATTTTAAAATATAATATCAACTTATAAATAGTGATTTTCTTGGAGAATCTTCGTGATAATACCTTTACACTCTCTAAAACTCCGCAATTGTGGTCATAGGTGTTTCTGCGCGATTACGCTCTGAAAAACTCAGTGGATTAAGGAGTTCTCTTAAACGTCGATTGCGGAGGGAGCACAAAAATTGTACATTACACGCGAGCTGAACTGTAGTAAAAACTTAAAAAATCTTCTTTTAAAAAGCCCAAATAGCTAGAGCTTATATATTAAGCATGAAATATCTTCTAGTGGGTATCTACCAAGTTTGTTCAAATAAAAGCCCTGGGGTCAAAATTGGCCCCGCCCCAGGGGGTCATTGTTTTTCCTTTTATGTATATAGTAAAAACTTAAAAAATCTTCTTTTAAAAAATTCTAAGAGCTAGAGCAAAGATATTTAGCATGAAACATCTTCTAGGGGGTGTGACCGTGTCTACCATTTTTGTTGAAATAGAGCCCTGGGGTTAAAATTTGCCCGAGGAGTCATTGATTTTCCTTATTTGTATATAGTAAAAACTTAAAAAATCTTCTTTTAAAAATGCACAAATAGCTAGAGCTTAGATATTAAGCATGAAACATCTTCTAGTTGGTGTCTACCAAGTTTGTTCAAATAAAAGCCCTGGGGTCAAAATTGGAGAGGGGTCATTGTTTTTCCCTTAATATTTATAGTAAAAACTTAAAAAATCTCTTTTAAAAAACCCTAAGAGCTAGAGCTAAGATATTTAGCATGAAAGATCTTCTAATGGGTGTCTACCATTTTTGTTCAAATAAGGGCCCTGGGGTTAAAATTGCCCCGCTTCGGGGATCATTTATTTTTCTTAAATTTATATAGTAAAAACTTAAAAAATCTTCTTTTAAAAAACCTAAAGAGCTAGAGTTAAGATATTAAGCATGAACTATCTTCTAGTGAGTGACTACCAAGTTTGTTCAAATAAAAGCCCATCGGGACAAAATTGGCCCCGCCCAGAGGTGGGGGGGGGGTTTGTTTTTACCTATATGTGTATAGTAAAAACTTACAAAATCGTCTTAGAGCTAGCTAGAGCTTAGATATTTATCATGAAACATCTTCAAATAGGTGTCTATGAAGTTTGTTCAAATAAAAGCCCCTGGATTAAAATTGGCCCCGCTCCGGGGGCCTATATACAGGTGAGCGATTTCAGGGCCATCATGGCCCTCTTGTTTGCTTCTAATTTCAGCCATATTACTAGGATCTATTAAAGTGCCTTATCAGGAATTAAAGCATCATGGCCCTCTTGTTTGCTTCTAATTTCAGCCATATTACTAGGATCTATTAAAGTGCCTTATCAGGAATTAAAGCGTCGTATAGTAGAGATGGATGAGGAGAACCTGACACCTGCTATGGTAGAACAGCTGCTCAAATATATGCCAGATCAAGATTCCCTAAACCAGTTAGCCTCTATGCAAGATCATTACAATGAACTTGCAGAACCAGAACAATTCTGTGTTGTAGTAAGTTAACTTTAACAATATGATCATCACAACTTTGCTAAGCATTGTCAAAAAAAGGATTAGTTAAATGAATGAAATATTGCAGTTACCCTGATTTTATGTCAGTGTGGTGGCCACTTGTGTTACGATACATTTTTACAGTCTTGGTCAAAAAAGCACAATAAAGGCTTTATCTAGTATAACATATTCATTATTTTTTATTATGCCCCCCCTTCCAAGGAGAGGGTGTATATTGTTTTGCTAATGTTGGTCTGTCGGTTCGTCCATCCATCTGTCAGTCCGTCCGTACAAACCCAGAGGTACTTGTGTGACTTGGAGAACAATGGGTAAATTCTCTTTGATCCAATTCATTCCGTTTTTACTTTTGTGTCTTTTTTTTAAGCCTTGTGTGACTAAAAATGGCTAAAAAGATCAAAGGAAAAGTCACATAAGTACCATTTTGTAAGTACGTCCGTCAATCCGTCCCGCTTTATACATATAGACAGTGGTGGTCGTGTCCACTCTGAAACTTCAGTATGCATGAAAGGATTTTAATTTTTCTTTCATATATATATAATAACCATAGTTGTATGGTGTGTCGCGAACAAGACTCAGGTTTCTACCACTAAGGTCAAGGTGGGGGTTAAACTTTGTCATTTTTAGCTCGACTATTCGATAAGAATAAGTAGAGCTATTGCAGTCACCCGAGCGTCGGCGTCGGCGTCGGCGTAACCACTTATGTTAAAGTTTTTGTAATAGTTCAAATATTTTCAAAGTCCATTGACATATGGCTTTGAAACTTTGCACACTTGTTCACCATCATGACCCCAACCTGTAGACAGGAGGAGGTAACTCTATCAAGCATTTTGACAGAATTATGCCCCTTTTTCGACTTAGAATTTACGTTAAAGTTTTTGTAATAGTTCAAATATTTTCAAAGTCCATTGACATATGGCTTTGAAACTTTGCACACTTGTTCACCATCATGACCCCAACCTGTAGACAGGAGGAGGTAACTCTATCAAGCATTTTGACAGAATTATGCCCCTTTTTCGACTTAGAATTTACGTTAAAGTTTTTGTAATAGTTCACATATTTTCAAAGTCCATTGACATATGGCTTTGAAACTTTGCACACTTGTTCACCATCATGACCCCAACCTGTAGACAGGAGGAGGTAACTCTATCAAGCATTTTGACAGAATTATGCCCCTTTTTCGACTTAGAATTTACGTTAAAGTTTTTGTAATAGTTCAAATATTTTCAAAGTCCATAGACATATGGCTTTGAAACTTTGCACACTTGTTCAACATCATGACCCCAACCTGTAGACAGCAGAAGGTAACTCTATTAAGCATTTTGACAGAATTATGCCCCTTTTTCGACTTAGAATTTACGTTAAAGTTTTTGTAATAGTTCAAATATTTTCAAAGTCCATTGACATATGGCTTTGAAACTTTGCACACTTGTTCAACATCATGACCCCAACCTGTAAACAGGAGGAGGTAACTCTATCAAGCATTTTGACAGAATTATGCCCCTTTTTCGACTTAGAATTTACGTTAAAGTTTTTGTAATAGTTCAAATATTTTCAAAGTCCATTGACATATGGCTTTGAAACTTTGCACACTTGTTCACCATCATGACCCCAACCTGTAAACAGGAGGAGGTAACTGTATCAGGCATTTTTTTTACTATCAAGCACTAAGAATAGTCGAGCATGCTGTCCTACCGACAGCTCTTGTTTATGATATATAAATATAGAAGGTGGTGGTCGTGTCTGCTCTGAAACTTCAGTATGCATGGAAGGATTTTAATTTTTCTTTCATACATGAAATAACCATAGATGTATGGTGTGTCGCGAACAAGACTCTGGTTTCTTAGGTCAAGGTCACTGTGGGGGTTCAAACTTTGTCAATTTTGATGTAAATATACATATAAGCAGAGATGGTCTTGTCTGCTCTGAAACTAATATACATGTAAGGATTTTTAATTTACATATGAAATTATCATAAATGTATGATGTTTTGCCCTTAAGACCTGTGTTCCTACGCCTTAGTTCAAGGTCACTGCTGGGATTTAAACTTTTTCAATATTTATGTTATATACATATAAATGGTGGTTGTTGTGTCTGCTCTGTAACTTCCATATACATGAAAGTTTCAATTTTTATTTAAAATATAAAGTCACCGTAGATGGACAATGTGTTGTGAACAAGACCGAGGTTGCTTTGTCTAACTTAAAGGTCACTGCTGGAGTTCAAACTTAATTTTTACCCTCACAATAGCATGTTATAGGTGGTTTATAATGAGAATCCTTCGGGGGCATTTGTCACTTTCTGTGACAGCTCTTGTTCATAGATCAAAGGATTTTGAAAAGACTTGCCACAAATAGTCACTATAATAAGATGATGTGTCATATGCAACACCTGCATCCCTACCTCCAATGTCAAGGTCACACTTAGAGGTCAAAAATTAGCATAGACAAATGGCCCATCAGAATGTTGCTGGGGTTATAACCTGAAGGGGACTTATGGATTGCTTGCAATACTATGATAATTGCTTATTTTGTATATTTTCAGATATCTTCCATAAAGAAGTTAGTTCCAAGATTGAATGCAATGTTGTTTAAGATGGGATTTGCTGAAAATATGAATGATATTAAACCTGTAAGTACAATTGATAATAACTAGATAAGTCAGTTGGATCATAACATAGATAACATTCTTCACAAACTAAATGTGCAGAAAACAACATTAAACCACTCTAAAATTATTTTTTCACCTTATTTTACACGAAAACACATTTAAAACAGTTTTGACACCTTGTTACATTTAGTGTCATGCCTAAGAGCAGTCAAGCAGATGATTAGCAACTAGTGATCAAGATAGGTGTTGACTTTGATATAGTCTGATTTTATTGACCTGTCAGTTATGAATACATTATATTCGATCCTACTGTCATTTACGAGAATTAATATGGAGTGTATAACTAATGTTTTAAAGGTCACACCAGCTTAAGGTATTGATCGTTGTTAAATCCGCAAAAGTGATTGCCCAATATGCAAGAGGTATGTGGTTCGATTCCTACAGTTCCCATTGTTTTAGACATACTCGTTCTTATTTTTAGCTTGACAATACAAAGTATATGGAGAGCTGTCCTACTGGCCCCGGCGTCAGTGTCCAGATTTCAGATTAAAGTTTTGGTGCAGTAAAATATTTTTCACTGTAAATTTTTCATTTCTTAAGGTATAAACTTCAAACTTCAAATATATGTTCCTTATCATCAACCACATCTTATGTGACAAGGTTCATAACACTAGCACCAATATTTTTAGATTTTTCTCCCCTTGAACTTAGAATTTTCTTTATAAAATACTATTTTTTACTGTTACTTCTTTATTTCTTAATGGATCAACTTCATGCTTCAAATATATGTTCCTTATCATCAACCACATCTTATGTGACAAGGTTCATAACTCTAGCACCAATATTTTCAGATTTATCTCCCCTTGAACTTAGATTTTTTACTTGTAAAAAATGCTTTTTTTTACTATAACTTCTTTAGTTTTAAAGGTATCTACCTAAACCTTCAAATACTTATTCCTTTTCATCAATTACATCATTCCTTTTCACCAATTACATCTTATGTGTCAAGGCTCATAACTCATTTTCAGATTTATCTCTCTTTGAACTAGGATTTTTGTAAGAAATATCATAACTTCTTTACTTTTTAAGGTATCTACTTTTAACTTCAAATATATATTTCTTATCATTACACACATGTTGTGTGACATGGTTCATAACTCTAGCATGACTATTTCCAGAATTATTTCCCCTTGAGCTTGAAATTTATGTTAACAAATGTTATTATACCCCCAAAAACGAAGTTTGGGGGGGTATATAGGAGTCACCCGGTGGTCAGTTGGTTGGACGGTCGGTCCAGACGTCCGTTGCATTTTCCTTGTCCGGAGCATAACTTGAAGACTAATGGTTGGAATTCAATATAACTACATACAATGGTCAAGCACATTGAGAGGAAGTGCAGTGCACAAGAACCATAACTCTATCTTGACTAATTACAGAGTTATTGCCTTTTGTTACTTTTCCTTGTCCGGAGCATAACTTGAAAACTACTGGTTGGAATTCAAAACAACTTCAATCAATTGTCAAACACAATAAGGGGAAGTGCAGTGCACAAGAACCATAACTCTATCTTAAGTATTTACAGAGTTATTGGCCTTTGTTACTTTTCCGTTGCTGTCTTTTGTCCGGACCATAACTTGAAGACTAATTGTTGGAATTCATAATAACTTCATACAATGGTCAAGCACATTGAGAGGAAGTGCAGTGCACAAGAACCATAACTCCATCTTGACTTATTACAGACTTACTGCCCTTTGTTACTTTTCCTTGTCCAGAGCATGACTTAAAAACTTCTGGTTGGAATTAAAAACAACTTCATACAATGGTCAAGCACAATAAGGGGAAGTGCAGTGCACAAGAACCATAACTCCATGTTGACTAATTACAGAGTTATTGCCCTTTGTTACTTTTCCATTGCTTTTTTTGTCTGGAGCATAACTTGAAGACTAATTGTTGGAATTCAATATAACTTCATACAATGGTCAAGCACATTGAGAGGAAGTGCAGTGCCCAAGAACCATAACTCCATCTTGACTAATTACAGAGTTACTGCCCTTTGTTACTTTTCCTTGTCCAGAGCATAACTTGAAAACTACTGTTTGGAATTCAATACAACTTCATACAGTTGTCAAGGACATTAAAAGGAAGTGCAGTGCACAAGAGCCATAACTCCATTTTGACAAAATACAGAGTTACTGCCCTTTGATACTTTTCCTTGTCCGGAGCATAACTTAAAACATACTGGTTGGAATTCAAAACAACTTCATACAAAGGTCAAGCACAATAAGAGGAAGTGCAGTGCACAAGAACTATAACTCCATCTTCAGTATTTATAGAGTTATTGCCCTTTGTTCCTTTTCCTTGTCTTTCTGGAGTTATTACAGAGTAATTCAATAAAACTTCATCAATGGCCAACCTGCAACATACAAGAACCACAACTATCTTTAATTGCCCACAACCATAACTCTATATTTCAATTCTTTTACAAGGTATTCTGTTACTAGTAACATCCTCATTTCCGAAGCAGTTTTGTGGGGGTATTAATCACATTTAGTGATAGTTCTAGTTTTTATGCCCCCACAATGTGTGAGCATATAGCGTTGCACTTGTCCGTCCGTCTGTCCATCCGTCCGTCCGTACGTCCCGAAATCTTGTGAACGCAACTCCTCTTAAACCGCATGGCAGATTTTGCTTAAACTTACAGGGATGAACAACCTTAATGTGTAGATGGTAGTAAAGGAAGGAATTTTTGCTGCGACCAAATTTAACAGAATTATGGCCCTTTGTTGATTTTTTCACTAGATACTATGTAGAAATTTTGTGAACGCAAGTCCTCTTAAACCGGATGGCAGATTTTGCTTAAACTTACAGGGATGAACAACCTTAATGTGTAGATGGTAGTAAAGGAAGGAATTCTTGCTCCGACCAAATTTAACAGAATTATGGCCCTTTGTTGATTTTTTCACTATATACTATGAAGAAATTTTGTGAAGGCAACTCCTCTTAAACCTGATGGCAGATTTTGCTTAAACTTACAGGGATGAACAACCTTAAGGTGTAGATGGTAGTAAAGGAAGGAATTTTCTCTGCGACCAAATTTAACAGAATTATGGCCCTTTGTTGATTTTTTCACTATATACTATGTAGAAATTTTGTGAATGCAACTCCTCTTAAACCGGATGGCAGATTTTGCTTAAACTTCCAGGGATGAACAACCTTAATGTGTAGATGGCAGTAAAGGAAGGAATTTTTGCTGCAACCAAATTTAACAGAATTATGGCCCTTTGTTGATTTTTTCATTATATACTATGTAGAAATTTTGTGAACGCAACTCTTCTTAAACCGGATGGCAGATTTTGCTTAAACTTCCAGGGATGAACAACCTTAATGTGTAGATGGTAGTAAAGGAAGGAATTTTTGCTGCGACCAAATTTAACAGAATTATGGCCCTTTGTTGATTTTTAGTTATCAACTTGTAGCACATGTAGTCCAAAAAATATTTGACCTAGACTCAGTAGAATCATAAGATTGACAGAACAGTGGCGTGTGGGGGCATCCGTGTCCTATGGACACATTTCTAGTTTTTACTATAACTTAATACATAATTATACATAATTGATTTTTCTTTTTTATGCCCTCGGGCATATAGTAATTGAACCATCCGTCTGTCCGTACGAGGTTAACCTAGAATGGCAAGTTGGATTTTTCTTAAGTTCTACCTGTACCAATGGCTTCTAAGTTTACACACTTACTAATCAATTCAAAGTACATGATTTGGGCAAGTTACATAACTCTTGGTTTCATATTTACCAAGTTATTGCCGTTTTCAGCACTTAGAAAATGAATAATGGTTAACCTAAAACGATAAGTTGGAAATATCTTAAGTTCTATCTATACTAATGGCTTTATAATTTCCACACTTACTTATCAATACAAAGTACATGATATTGCCAAGTTATATAACTGTGTCATCCATATTTCCCAGTTATTTCCCTTTTTTCACTTTGAAAATAGGGTCTTGTCTGGTTAACCTTTTTCGGCAAGTTGGATTTATCTTAAATTTTTCCTAATTGCTTAATTTCTTTAATGATATCTTTCATATTTAGTAGGTGGATACCTTTGATGGTCCTCTAATATTTTGTGGAGTAAGCGGTCTCTAGGGTCAAGGGAACTGGTTTAAAAATGAATATAAACATTTTTGCTCATACAGCTTTATTTTTTAGTTGATGTCTTAGTTTAATAACAAACATGCCAAGGGAGGTCCTCCTTCCTTTTTGGGTGTAGTAAGGGGTCATTTGGGTCAAGGTCAATGTTACCAATGTCAAGGTCACCAATGTTAAAAATAGATTTTTACAGGTGTATTTACCTTATTCTATAGACAGATGTTATTTATAATTGATAGAAACATAAACTTTGATGGAGTTAGTGGTCAGTTGGGTCAAGGTCACCAGTGCTAAAAATAGATTTTTACACTTTTGCCCATACAGCCTTTATTTATTGACAGATGTATTTCATATTTGGTAGGAAGATAACTTACATGGCATTCTTCTTTTGGATAGAGTTAGGGGTCAGTTTGGTCAAGGTCACCAGTGCTCAGAATAGATGTTTACACTTTTGCCCATACAGCCTTTATTTAATGACAGATGTATTTCATATTTGGTAGGAAGATAACTTGCATGAAGTTGAATATTTTTCAGAGCAATGACTTGGCAACTTATATTTTTCACAATTACAAAATGCCATGACTTTGTCAAGCTATATAACTTGTGTTTACAATATTTTGGCAATTTTTCTGTCCATAACTGAGTGAATGGGTAAACATTTTTTGAAATATTGCTACTGACAAGAATCTGAGCCGGGGGCATTTGTTTAACAAAAACGTTCTTGTTTTCTTTCATAGTTTTGTCTTCCTTACTGCATCCAGTATTTTATTAGTCGAGCTTTGCTGTCTCCTGTGACAGCTCTTATTGCAGTATATTTTAATTATAATGGCCGAGTGCTTGCATAATTTTCTACACAGATAT